AAAAATTGAAAACACTAGAAACATTGGAAATTAAAATTTTTAATCATTAAAAAAATTCAATAGATGGGCTAAACAGCAACATAGGAACAACTAAGGAGTAAATTCATGACTGGCACATCGAGCCAATAACTTCTCCTAGAATATAATTCAGAAGGATAAAGGAAAGGGAATTATAAGAGAAAATATTCATGAGCTTTTTGGAAGCATCAGGATTCCAATAACATCAAATAAGAGTTCCAGAAGAAAAATTAAAAAAGATTAAAAAGAAAATTATAATCTGGAATTTAATAGAAGAAAATTTCTCAGTGCTGGTGAAATGCAGGTGTTTTCATTGAAAGAACCCACAATTAATTCAGTAAGATGCATTTTTAAAAGGTCCAAACCTAGATATTTCATGATGAAATTTCAGAATAGCAAGGATTAAGAGAAAATCTTAAAAGTTTCCAGATTATTAGTAGTAAGTGTAATGTAGAGTGGTTGGATACAAAGTAAACATAAAAAATCCAAGAGTTTTCATGTACACTAGCAATGTTGTCGGGGCCGACTCGACGGCATATAACAACAACAACAAAGCAATGTTGTTGTTGTTGTTATGTGCCGTCGAGTCAGCCCCAACTCATAGCGACCCCTCCTTGGGTTTCCAAGGCGGTATCACTAGAGAAGTAGATTGCCCAACCTTCCTTCAGAGGAGTGGCTGGTGGGTTTGAACTGCCAGCCATAGTGTATGTGCTACACTAGCAATAAACATTCCCAAAGTGTAATGAAATAAATTAATAGCAACAAATATCATAAACTATCTAGTAATATGAAAGCTTCAAAATGTGCAAGACCTATATAAAGCAAATTATAAGACTTTATCAAGAAATATAACAGAGAGAGAACACATAACACAGACAGACTTCATTCTTCGGTGACAAAATTCACTATTTTAATTGTCTTATCTTCCCAGAATTCATTCATTACAGTTAGAGACAAAATACCAACTGAATTTGTTAAAGAAACTTGGCAAGCCAATGCTAAGATTCATATGGAAGAACAAATGCAAAGGAATAACAGCAACAGGGATACTATCTTAGATATCATGGTTCTGCTGATAGTGTCCTAGCAATAAATTTTTCCTCTTCAATATAATTACTGCTAATGATTAGAGGACTGTGGCTTATTTGAAAAGAAAACATAGCCATAATTTTCATTAAAGACAGCAGTTAAGTCATATTTTTTCAACAGGACTTACCTCCAAAGGATAAATGAAAGACTGTGAAGTAGCACCAGCTAAAGAACCAAAAGCAAATTTCTCAATAACCTCTGATTTGCCTTCTTCATGAGGATGGAGAAGATTCTTATACTGTGCAAACAAGGATTTAAAGGTATGTTACTACTCGAAAGTCCCAAAGAGCATGCAAGTATTCAATATTAAGGAATATTTGGGCATTTAATTTAGTTAAAATCCATGATTCATGTCATAAGAAGCATAAATACTGTCATGCACATTAGACAGGAGGCCTCAATCTTAACAGTGGAGACTTCCTCTTTTACCTTCTTAGAATAAGATCTCATATACAGCAGACATTCAGTGAATGCTGATTATGATTAGATCATGAGAATAGAAACCAATGAGCTGGAAACAACTGAGAAACCATTGAGCTGAAAACAATTTAAACAAGTTCTGATGGCAATTGTGTCAAACTTTAGTAAAGCAACATGACATGATAAACCTAGGATCCTAGCTTAGTCACTTACTGTGGTAGTTAAGTTTGTGTGTCAGCTTGGCTGGGCCTGGTTGAGTGGCTGGGCAGCTGATGGTAGTTTTTCCCCATAATGAGACTGGCAATCAACTCCATGGTGGGATCAACCACAAGCAGCTGAGTAGCTGCTTTAGGGATGTGGTCTGCTTCCCGTATATAAGCAGCAGCTTTGGGAATGATCTCTAGCCTTTTGGCACACTTGAACCCTGTATGTAGCCACATCTTTGTTCTATAGCCTGCGATGCCCTGCCAATCTTAGGACTTTCAGTAGACTTGAATCAATGGCCTGACATGTTGTTTGATAACATTGGGACTGGACCTTTTTACTTGTCAACCTGGGGTTTGTCAGCCTCAGCAGCCAGCAGCTGTCTGAATGAAGAAAAACCTCTAGCTTCAGTGGGCCGGGAGCAGGAGGCAGAGCTGAAGCTCTAGGTTGAGGGGTTTTCACCCAGCCCCTAGAGCCTGGCACTTTGAAATCAGACTTGAAACCTCCAAAATTGTAAGAGAATAAACTCCTGTTGATCAAGGCACCCAATTTGTGGTATATTCCCGTCAGAGCAGCACTAGTTAACCAAAATGCTTACTGAGTGGTTTGGGACAAGTTATTTAACTTCTCTATAACCCAGTTTCTTCCTCTGGAAAATGAAGACAAGGGCTTTGTTTATGCTGGTCACCATCATATCTGCAGCTCCTACTTCGCAGGATTGTTTTGAAGATTAAATGAAATAAAGTAAAGATTAAAAGATGTATAAAGTGCTTACCACATAGAAACTAAAGAAATGGCCATTATAAATGTTGCAAATATTAATGATAATGTGGTGGTTATGTTTGTGTGTCAACTTGGCTAGGCCTGGTTGAGTGGCTGGGCAGCTGGATGCAGTTATTTCCCATGGTAAGATTGGTAATTAACTCCATGGTGGAATGTGGTCTGCTTCCCGTATATAAGCAACAGCTTTGGGAATGGTTTCTAGCTTATGGCATGCTTGCTTAGACCCTGCATGTAGCAGCCTCCGATGCTCTGCTGACCTTGGGACTTACAATGAACTTAAATTAAGGGCCGGCCATGTGGTTCGGTAACATCGGAACTGTGCCATTTTATTTGTCGACCTTGGGCTTGTTAGCCTCAGCAGCCAGTAGCTGCCTGAGTAAAGAGATGCCTCTAGCTTCAGTAGGCCAGGAGCAAGAGGCAGAGCTGAGACCCAAGGTCGAGGGGCTTTCACACAGCTCCAAATTGTAAGAATAAACTCCTGTTTGTTCACACCATCCCATCTGTGGTATATTCTTGTCAGAGCAGTACTAGACAACCAGAAAAGATAAGTATAAATTTTCATTGCAAAATTAATTTTCAATAAAAAATTTTCTTGGCCTCTGTTGTCTTTATCTTAGTTGCTTCTTTGTTCAAGCCAATCATTGCATTCTATCACTCTGACCATAATGAGTGTTTCAAGAATAGGTGTGTTACGCCCTGGAGAGAACAATCATGGGAGAAGGAAGGGCTGCTTATGCACAGGGAGATAGCTCAGGGTGCAGAAGAGTATGAAGGGATGGACACTGGGAGGAGGTAACTATGGGGAGGAAGTGGGAGGGGAGCTGCTGCATTGTAAATTTTGGTCAATGACATGAGACAAAGTATATGTGAACTGCTGTATGAAAAGTGAATTTACTCTGTAAATCTTCACCCAAATCCTAATTAATTAAAAAAAAAAAAAAAAAAGAATAGGTGTGTTAGACTGGGTTCTCTAGAGAAACAAAACCAGTAAAGCTTATATAGAGAGAGAAAAAAAAATTATCTTAGGAAAATGGCTCACACACTTATAGAAGCTGGCAAGTCCAAAGTTCTTGAATCAAATGTCAAGCTGGAGGCTTTTCCCGACTCTCGCAGCTGCAGGGGCTGAGGAGCTCAAGGTTGGCAGGCAGTATATTGGCTTTTTGACTCCTGCAGCTATGTGAGTTGGGGAAAGCCTCCAGCTTGATGTTTGATCCAAGAACTTTGGACTTGCCAGCTTCTAAGTGTGTGAGCCATTTTCCTAAAATAAATTTCTCTTTCTCTCTATATATAAGCTTTACCGGTTTTGTTTCTCTGGATAGCCCAGTCTAACACAACTGTGAATGGTACCTCTGGGCATGTGCAACATGTCAGTCCTGCCCAAGTGTTCCCTATCAATAAATGACCCCAGTTGAACCAGCCAGAAACCCTGATATCATCTTTGACACTCCCCTATCTCTGACACCCTACAAACAACTTACCAAAATCTTATTTATTCTACATCCTAAATATCTTTGGAATCTGTCTACTTGTCTCTCTTCACTGACACCACCCAGGTGTACAGAACCTGGGTTACTGCATACCATCCTACACTTTTGCCCCTTCCTCACTTTGCATGTCTGCCTCTTCAGCCTGGCCTTTAACAACCTTCTCCATTCTATCATGCTGGGCTTCTTTTAGTTCTTCAAACTCACTTTACTCTTGTACCTCTAGAGCCTAAAACATGCTGTTCCCTCAGTCTGGAACATTCTTTTCTCAATCTTTCGGCTGCAAAACTTCCATTTGCCCTTTGAATTTCAACGTAAACATTACCTCCTCAAGGAGGCCTTCCTTAACTACCCAGGCTAGTTTGGATCCCTCTGTATCATTTTCCCACAGTATCCAACATTGTGTTTTATGTAATACTTGTGGCCACTGTTTGTTGTTGTGTTGTTATTAGCTGCCATTGAATCAATTTAGACTCTTGGTGACTTCATGTGTGCAGAGTAGAACTGCTCCATAGGGTTTTGAAGGCTGTGACCTTTTAGAAACAGATTGCCAGCTCTTTCTTCTCAGGTGCTTCTGGGTAGGTTCAAACCACCAACTTTTGACTAATAGTGAAGTGTTTAACCATTTGCACTACAGGGGCTTCTATGACTGCTATTTATTGAACATTTATTATGGGCCAGGCTACTTGCCAGCTAAAAGTTATTATCTACATTTTACAGATGAGGAAACTAAGTTCACAGACGTTATGGGAACTTGCCCAAGTCCACACAATTAGAATGTACCAGAGCTTAAGTTCAAACACAGGACTGTGATCTCTAATGCCCTGCTCTGCCCATTGTCTCATTTTGTCCCCCTTGACTCAACCATATTCCTGTTTAAATTCAATTAACTTACTGTGCTATTGCGGTTTCCATGCAAAATCTAAATGAATTAGCTAAAATACCTTTTATTCAGGGAATATTGAAACTAAAAAAAAAAAATGGAATTTTTAAAAATCAATATTCAGATATAATAACAGCATTATAATCATATTATATTCTATTACATAAAACTAAGGGGGCTCTGGTAGCATAGTGCCTAAGGCACATGACTGCTAACCAGAAGGCTGGCAGTTCAAACCCACCAGCCACCCCTCAGAAGGAAGGTTGGGCAATCTAATTATGTAGTGATACTGCCTCAGAAACCCAAGGAGGGGTTGCTATGAGTCAGGTACGACTCCACAGCACATAACAACAACAACAACAACATATAATACTAATGTTCTAATATAGATATTAGGAGCTCTGGTAGCATAATGCCTAAGAGACTTGACTGCTAACCAGAAGGCTGGAGGTTCAAACCCACCAGCCACTCCTCGAAAGGAAGATGGGGCAATCTATTTCCATAGGGGTAGTGCCTGGGAAACCCAAGGAGTCGTGTCCGACTCGACGCACATAACAACAACAAACAACAATATAGATATTAACAACTGTTTCTCTTTGTTTTACAATACTCTGAAGCAGTTTTTTAAATACAAAATTTAAGAGCATTTCCTTGTTAATAAATGTCATAGGCAATGAGGCTTTACCTGTTCATACGACCAGACCTTAACAGCTGTTTCAGGAGCGATCTTGAGAATATTCACGCCATTTCCTCTCCACAAAGAAATGACTCCGCCTTCTTTCACCATCTCCATTAAACTGCTTATTATCTTTTTACTCTTTGTTTCTGAACTCTGAGCTTTCAAGAGGAAAGGAAGAACTGTAAAGTTCACAATATGATTTCCATGTGGCAAGTAAGAAAGTTAAAGTTTCAAAATTTTGAAAGTATCTTCTATCAGAGAAGCAGCAGGTGTTCCAGTGATTAGAACATTTTGAAAATATGTTTATTTTGTTTCCTACGCCAGAGCTGGAGAAGGACACACAGGTAAACTTGCCATAAAAAACCAAACTCACTGCCATGGAGTCCATTCTGACTCATAGCGATCCCCACTGGGTTCTCAAGGCTATAAATCTTTATGGAAGCAGACTGCCTCATCTTTTTTCCATGGAGCAGCTGGTGAGTTTGAACCACCAACCTTCTGGTTAGCAGCCAAATGCCTTAAACACTACACCACCAGATCTCCTTAACAGGCCATAGACATGAGTTTTTTGCTTCTTATTCTTCAAGGAGATGGGCAAATGGCTTTCCCATCATGGAAAAAGAGACTCACATGTAAATATGAATAGAAGATTTAGTGAAATTTAAGACCTCTGAAACTGAGACAATTTATTGCTAACCAGGGACTATGAGACGACTAACAAGTATGATCTATATAGTTTGTGTAGCAGAGAAGGGGAAAAGAAAAAAAAGATAGAATCCAACTAACTTTGTGGTCAAGAGACCTGAGATTCTTCTCTAGGGAGCATATTAGGAGAAAGATATTTAGTTTAGCCTTCAGAAAGCATCACAGAATGTACCCTGTACATTAAATATATTGAGTATATAGGAAGGAAATTAAGCCCAGAACAATGTGAGTCAGTGTGTGAGTGAAGACCAGCCCCCCCCCAAAAAAAAAAAAATTACCATTGACTCAATTCCAACTCATAGTGACCTTATAGGGCACAGTAGAATTGCCCTATAGGGTTTCCAAGGCTGTAAATCTTTACGGAAGCAGATTGCCACATCTTTCTTCCAGAGCATCTAATAAGTTTGAACTGCTATCTTTTGGTTAGCAGCTGAATGCTTTAACCACTCTACCACCAGAACACCTTGTAAATGAAGACAGCAGGAAAAGTTCAACTAAGATATGAGTGATTTTTGAATTAGCAGTATTAAAGAGCTATTTGTTTTCAGAGTATCTGGGCAGACACCCCTTGCAGTAGGAGAGTTGGATACTTACTAAATGAAGAGGGGAACAGCAGATTCCTTGAAACACATATACAAAGAGGAAAGGAAAAAAAAAAAAAAAAACAATAATCCAAGAACAGTTATTGAGGAGAAGAGAAAGGTATTTAAACTCAAAATGATACCTGTGTTACACAGCCACAATAATAGATACGCTTGCTTTAATTTGCAATAAATCTGTAAGTCAGCACTATGCAATAAATCCTAACTTCTATATGTTAATGGGGAGCTTTGGTGGCTAGTGCCTAAGGCATTTGACTGCTAACCAGAAGGCTGGCAGTTCAAACCTACCAGCGACTCCTCAGAAGGAAGGTTGGGCAATCTACTTCGTAGAGATACCGCCTCAGAAACTCAAGGAGGGGTCACTATGAGTTGCAATTGACTCCATAACTCCAAAGAAGTGAGTTTGGTTTTGGTTTGTATATGTTAATGAGGCAGGAATAGATTAGGTTGCATCTTGAGTCACAGCCTTACAAGAAGACATGACCCAAGTCCCATCTTTACTCAAGTCACACCCTTGCTCGAGCTACACCTTATATCTTACAGGAAATAAAAAGATAGGGAAAAAAACAGAAAGCAGGATCTGACTACCACCAAGAAAAAGAAGCCAGGAGTTCAGCACATCCTTTGGATCCAGGGTTCCTTTGATGAGAGCCTCTTAGAGCCAGGGAAAGACTGATGCTAAGGCATAAAGAGATCTCCAGGGATCTACTCACCCACAAAGAGAAATGAAATCCTGGTGCATGCCACAACATGAATGAATCTTGTAAACATCATGCTGAGCAAAGTAAGTCAGTCACAAAAGAATATATATACTGTATGAAATACCCAAATATATAGAAACCAAAGATTATTAGTGATTACAAAGAGTGAGAGACAGACTCAAAGAACTGCCCAGTGAAAACCATATGAATAGTAGTGAAACACTATCTGATATATTACTGGAAAGTGTTCTGAATATCCCTGAAACATTGTCTGATACGGTGCTGGAAGATGAGACCCTCAGGTCAGAGGGCACTCAAAATGTGACTGGGAAAGAGCTGCCTCATCAGAGTAGAACCTACATTAATGAAATGGATAAAGTAGAGCTTTCAGGGCCTCCCATATGATCTACTATGCCGGGAATGACAAATTGAAGAAGATTGGCATGCTGTTATCATCACAAAGAATGTTTCAAGATCTATCCTGAAGTACAATGCTGCCAGTGGTAGAATACTACCTGTTTTGGTTACCTAGTGCCACTCTGACAAGAATATACCACAAATGGGATGGCTTGAACTAACAGGAGTTTATTCTCTTACAGTTTGGGAGGCTAGAAGTCCAAGTTCAAAGTGCCAGGCTCTAGGGGCTGGGTGAAGCCCCTTGACCTTGGGCTTAGCTCTGTTTCTTGCTCCCGGCCCACTGAAAGTAGAGGCATCTCTTCACTCAGGCAGCTAGCGGCTGCTGAGGCTAACAAGCCCAAGGTTGACAAATAAAATGGTACAGTCCCGATGTTAACAAACCACATGGCAGGCCATTAATTCAAGTTCATTGTAAGTCCCAAGGTCAGCAGAGCATAGCAGGCATCTGAACAACTACATGGCTACATGCAGGATCCAAGCATGCCATAAGCTACAGACCATTCCCAAAGCTGCTTCTTATATATGGGAAGCAGACCACATACCCAAAGCAGCTACTCAGCTGCTTGTGGTAGATTCCACCATGGAGTTGATTGCCAGTCTCATGGGGAATAACTACCACTAGCTGCCCAGCCACTCAGCCAGGCCCAGCCAAGTTGACACACAAACATAACCACCACACTATCCATACGTCTACAAGGAAAGCCAGTTAACACTACTATTATTCGAATTCATGCACCAACCACCAAAGCCAAAGATGAAGAAATCAATTTTTACCAACTTCTGCAGTCTGAAATTGACCAAACATGCAATCAAGATGTGCTGCTTATCACTGGTAATTAGAATGCAAAAGTTGGAAACAAAGAAGAATCACAGGTAGTTGGAAAATTTTGCCTTGGAGACAGATATAATGCTGGAGATCGCATGATAGAATTTTGCAAGACCAACAACTTATTCATTACAAATACCTTTTTTCAACAACACAAACAACAGCTATACACATGGACTTTGCCAGATGGAGTACACAGGAATCAGATTGACTACATCTGTGGCAAGAGGTGATGAAGAATCTCAATATCTTCAGCCGAAACAAGGCCAGGAGCTGATTGTGGAATAGACCATCAACTGCTCATATACAAGTTCAACTTGAAATTGAAGACAATTAAAACAAGTCCATGAGAGCCAGAATATGACCTTGAACATATTCCTCCTTAATTTAGAGACCATCTAAAGAATAGATTTGATGCATTGAACACCGATGACTGAAAACCAGAAGAATTGTGGGATGAGATCAAGAACATCATCTATGAAGAAAGCAAGAGATCATTAAAAAGACAGGAAAGGAAAAAGACCAAAATGGATGTCAGAACAGACTCTGAAACCTGCCCTTGAACAGAAAGTAGCTAAAGCCAATGGAAGAAATGACAAGATAAAAGAGCTAAACACAAGATTCCAAAAAGCAGCTCAAGAAGACAAACCCAATTATTATAATGAAATGTGCAAAGACCTGGAGTTGGAAAGCTAAAAGAGAAGAACATGCTTGACATTTCTCAAGCTGAAAGAACTGAAGAAAAAAATTAAGCTTTCAGTTGCAATATTGAAAGATTTAATGGACAAAATATGAATGATGCACGAAACATCAAAAGAAGATGGAGAGAATACATAGAATCACTGTACCTTTCAGGAGGTGGCATATGACAAGAACCAACGGTATTGAAGGAAGATGTTGAAGCTGTACTGAAGGAAGTGTTGAAGAACAAGGCTCCAGCTTTCAGGGCAAGATGGCGGACTAGACAGAAAGAGTGCACAGACCCTCTTCAACAAAGAAAAGGGAAAAAAATAAACACAGACACAGAAGATAATCCTGGACCCCTGAGCTTGAAGGGAAGGATATAGAAGTGGACTAAACCCCAACTAGCAGAAGAATTTGTGTGAAAATACCGAAAAAAGAGACATACGGAGCTGCGGTCTGGCAGCGATCCTGAGTGAACCTGACAGCACAGACAGCGTAGAGATTCCCAAGTGCTGGTAGGACTTAACAATTAACCTAAAAATCAGCCTTATTAGCCAGGGACTGCACGGAGGACTGCTCCAGTGGCTGGGGAATAAATGGAGAAGGTGAAGAGAAAGGCAGGCTGAGCTGTGGACTTTTGCCAGTCCGGAGGATGCCGCCATTTTGAATGTTAAAAAGTGGCTTGACTATTTTGGATATTTAAAGAGCCAGTGCTCTCACAGATTCCTAGGGCTTAACAACACATTCTGCTTTCCAGCAACCCCAAGAACCATCCGGACCTGCAAGACTGAAAAAGTATGACATTCCTCTTGTTACTCTTATACCCCACACTGCTTGGTGAACGGAGGTGCAGCCATCCCCCACTCC